CTTTGTGTTGAACATGCTATGGAATTAAAACACTGTATAATGACATGTTTCATATCCATCAGTGTATTATCATATAAAATAGTTTGATTTCCCTAAAAACCCGCTGGCTCTTCCTATTCATCCTTTCCTATCTTCGGACACCCAATCCATGTCTTTTTATCTGTTTATTGAAGGGAAGTATCATATTTTGTATTTTTGTGTTGAATTTTTAAGTGAACATGCAATAATTGACTTGAGTGTACTGCCTAATAACCACCTTGTTACTCAGAGGCACTCACTGAGCTCTTTTCTTGGGCCCTCTATATTCAGGTGGGCATGCTCTTTGCCCACAGTTTCTCCTCGGATCTTCTCCTGATGGCCCTCTTGGAACACTTGTGATTGTATGGATTACAACCTTCTTGTTCTCCTATTTCCCACCCTATTCTTTGGTTAAATCCTTAGTGAGGGTTTTAGCCTTTGCATTGAAAAGCTGATTTCTGGTATAAGAGGCTTAACTATGTTTCTGCTGAATATAAAATTCTGTCTCTTTCAAGGGAGACTTTTATGTGTCATTAGGTCTGATAATACAATTTTGTAGACTTAGCTAATGAATTATGAATAGAAAATATTAAAAATAAAGCTGTTTTGTAATGACTAGGAATAAACAACTAGTCCTGGAATAATGACTAAATTTAGTTGAATGTCAAATTAGAGGTAGTCTTAAAGAAATGCAAGCATTTGGCTGAAACTGTCTAGGAGGAAAACAGAGATGGAAAAGACAGTGTACCTCTGCCTTAGGAGTTTATTATCTAGTGTGAAATTTGGAAAACCACAACTCTCTAATATGTCAATTTTCAATGGTGATGCACTCGGGCATTAGCATAATGTGGTTGGAACGTAAGGGCAAGAACAGTTATTGTGACTAATTGGTTCAAGGAAAGATTCATTGAGAAAAAGACAGTTGAGCAGGGCTTTGAATGATAAATATGATTTAGGTGTGTGAGTTGTGGAAAGTAGGTTATAAATGTGGAAATATTATGAGGAGGTAGTATAGACATTTGAATATACATAATTGTTTCTGAGTTGTTGAAGAGTCTTGTGTAGCAGAAGAAAAAGATGAGTGCAGTGGAACGTGGAAGATAAAACCGGCAGGGTAGCTTGGGGTCAGATTCTGAGGAATATTCAGTGCTGTCCTAGAACAATTGAGAATTCATTTCATAGGCAGTGGAATGCAACTAGGAGAGGATTGTAAGGAGGAGATAGCATGTTTGGGTTTATCTCAAGATAATTACTCTGATCTTGTCACAAAAGATAGATTGCAAGGGCTAGACACTGGAAGCTGAGAGAAGGGTTGGGAGACTTTACAATCAGTGGTTCAGGATATCAACAATCATCAGTTGCTATCTATGCTGGTGGCTCTACCACCTGATTCAGAAATTTCATCAAATTTAAATCCTCTTGGGTCTTATCTGTGACTTTGGTCCTTTTCCTTTTATGGAATATGAATGCCTTCTCTTCTGCTATTGGTTGTATCTCTTCTCATGGGGAAGGATTATTTGTATTGTGTTCAGTGTTGCTAGTGGTACTAAGTATTCCTGCTAGCTAACAAGGCAGAATTGTTCTTCCCTGGAATACCTAGTCTTTCATGAAGTTGCGTTTGCTTTCTAACACCAATTCTGCTCTATCTTACCTTTTCTCTTCTTGTACAAGAAAGCAGGAGTAGAGGCAGATTCCATCAAGAACTGTTTATGCCTGCTTGGGTAGAGGAGAGCGACCACACATTGAAGCATTTGTTATACATACAATATCCTTTCAGGGCTCTTATCTTGAGACTTATAACCAAAAGCATTTATTTCAGAACCATGTAATCATATGCAATGACAAAAGCATTAACTAAATGTACTAAATAATTATTTGAACATTTAAAACAAATATGGATATACTTCCCTTTGTCCGCCAGTTTCAATTCACTTAGCAAGTTCTTCCGAGCCATTGTTCTGTTCCTTTTCCATTTTACTCTCATTGTCCCTTTTGAGGTGTTGCAAGGGGCTCCAGATGTTTTTCAGAGTTCATCTACATTTCACCTTTGTTCTTCCGGATCCGTTTACTGTAGTACTAGAGTTCTCCTCTTCTGGCTACAAAATCTTACTGCAACACTTTCCTTTATTCTTGCCTTCTGTTTTACTCATTTTACCTGTTTCCTTTTCTTTTCTTTTATCTTGTCAGGCGCCTGTGGCAGCCTTCTCCCTGCCTGCCCTCAGGCAGCAGTGTGGCATATCTCTGCAATGCCTTGTTGCTTGGAGGCTCTCATTGAGCTCTTTTCTCAGGCCCTCTGTGTTCAAGTGGGCATGCTCTTTGCCCAGCAAGTTCTCCTAGGACGTCTCCTCTTGGAACACTTGTGATTTTATGGATTACAAACTTCTTGTTCTCCTATTTCCCACTCCACCCTTTGGTGAAATCCTTAGTGATGGTTTTGGCCTTTGCATTGAAAAGTTGATTTCTGGTATAAGAGGTTTAACTACATTTCTGCTGAATATAATGTTCTATTTATTTTCCTTAGGGATATTCTGTGTCTTCTGAGGGAGAGAATTGACTTCCAGGCTGAATGCTACCAGGAATACAATCCTCTGTAAACATACTCAACCTATACTCACATATAACTTTAAAACATCTTTAAGCTGTCTTTGAAAGTTTGTAAGCAGAGAAATGGCTTAGTTAAATCACAGGGAAGTATACAATATAAAATAGACAGAAAGAGAAATAAATATATATGTTGTGCTCAGTCATAATAAACATTGACAGTTCAGGCTGAAGTATATCCATCATTCACTCCACATACACCCATGGGCACCATAAGTGATCACTTCTATGCATGGAAGGCAGTAGAAGGCATACATCTTGTCCACAAGAAGGGACTGTTCAGTTGGAGAGACAAACATAAACATGATGACTGATTACAATGTGGTAGGATAAGTGTCACAATACAGCCATGTAAAAATAATTTTGAAGACACAGATAAGAAAGTGAATTATTCTGACTAGCACAGGAAGCTGGTCTGAGGCAGGGGTGCTGAGTCAGCCAGCCTGAGGAAGACAGTCAGAGTGAAATAAAGGAGCCTTCACAGGTCAGCACTGTACTTGACTTGCAAACTGTGAGAGGCTCCCTTCAGCTCAATTACAGAGCCTATCAGACTCATCAAACTTAAGCTACACCATGTTGGAATGCTTTATCAAACTTTAAGGATCCCAATTTTCTAGAGAACAAAAGCATCTATGAGGTGCTAGAGAATTGTCTTGAGAGTTCATAGGTCACATTCCCCACATCACAGGACACTTTCCCTCAACAGTGTGACAGGAAGGCAGCAATATCTGTTTCCATGTGACTACACTGTGATACAATAAAAGGGACAGACGGGGGTTTAGTGCAGCCTGCGACTTGTGAGGAATTTCATATGGAGAGAATTCTACTCTGTGGTTCTGAAATTAGGAAAAAGAGGAAGTTGCTTTTATTACTGTGGCATGAGAGGCCCCTCTGCCCTCCATACCTCTTTTTCTAATTTGTAACCATTTCCTGACTGCCGTTCCTGTTGCATGCTTTTTTCATAAGTTACTCCATGGCTTACATCAGTTAATGGCTGGGGCTGCACTCTCTGAGCCTGGAGCGGAGTCCCTGCACCTGGGCTCACCCTACTAATAGATCACCTAGGGCCTGGTGATGGCCTGTGAGGACAGCTGGAATGGCTCAACTCCCACACTCATCTGTCATGATTACCACGCGTTGGGGGTTTGCCTGGCTTTTTCCACTCATTTCCTTTGTCAGCATGACTGAGATCAAAGTGCAAGCAGGATACATAAATGATAACCTAGAACTTTGCCCAACACATAGGCTGCGATCTGGATGACATCTTCCATCACACTTTCCCCACAGGCACGGAAGGAAAAGGGCAAATTATGTTTAAGTATAGCCTTTTTTGCCCAGCCGCTTCCAGCCCCCCATCCCCACCCCCACTGCCCTTACTGTTTCCTGAACCCATGGTAGTTGTATTAATCAATTGGTTCAGGGATTTGAGATTTCCTGACATAATCACAGGATTGGGGAAATCCTGATTTCTGTTTATATGAAACTGTGGCTATGATTGCAGACATTGTACCTAGCTGAGCTTGCATCTTTCATTCCCCATTCAGAGTTTGAGATGGTTCTGGCCATTTTCCTAAAGAATGGGAGTGAATGATCTTTGCATGTCTGTCGAGCAGAAGATAATTTACTTGCAGAATGTATTTTGTTTAAAATAATACTGACAAAAAGTGTTCAAAATGGTAACAATAGTTTATGTAAATATTTGGGCAGGTAATAATTACTTTTGGATTTGTGTTGCCGATTCAAAAACAAAATACCTTGCAGTGTTTGTTTCTGAGTTTACTTTTGTCATGCTGTATACGTTCTCTCTTCAAAATGAATACTGATGCGTTAAAGAAAGAATGAGATGAATTTGAGGTATGGGTGCAAGTTAGGGAACTACTAGGAATTAACTAAGGGTTATTCTTTCAGAAAATAACATTCAGATAACGCAAAGGGTTTTTAATTAGGAAAATGTATATGATCTCTGGATTGATGTTGTCTTTGAGAGTTGCATCATACAGAACAGACATGGAAAGTTGACCTTGAATGATGTAGCCCTTGGTCAATGCCATTGCACTTGCATGTTTTCTCCATCGAGATAGTTTTTTTTTATTTTTTATAATAATATATGAGAATTTCTCCATGGATTTACAGAAATCACAGCTAATCCATGAGATTTCTTTCTAAATATAAACATCTATGTATTTATCTATATCTATATATGTCCACCCTCTACACACAGACTGGTAATCATTAATTGATAGTAAAAAGCTAAAAATGTAGACATTTTCCACACCATCTACCTCCTTTACTAAGCTGCCACATTATGTGTGTATGTGTATGTGTGTGTGTACATGTGCACGAGCTGGGCTATGTTTCAAATGTTCTGTTTCCTTTCTCAGAAACCATTGGTGTGTTTTGGAAATATTGAGGATGCCGCCAATGTGAGTATCCCCCATATCAGATAGTGGGCAACCCTGCCCTGAGAACTTAGACGACTCAGATCAGATCTTCCCAGTGGGCTAACCTGGCACCTAACTTCTTCATGTTTCATGTTCCTCACCTGTAAAATGCTGATAAAAATGACTATCTCAAACAATGCCTGTTAGGAGGATTAAATTAAAAGAGCTAATGTGTGAAGAAAAGTTGCTTAGTGCATTGAACTCTGGCTCTGGGGTCTGCAGACCTGGATTTGAATCCTGGCTTTTCTATTTAAAAACTGTGTAACCTTGGTGATGTATTTAATTCTTTGTGCTCAGCAATAAATGTTGTAAGGCATGTAAGTGGCATAGCGCCCGACACATTGTGAGTACTCAATAAATACTTGATATTAATGTTAAATTGTAAATCTGTGCAGATGATAACTTTTTTTGATGAGCTGATAATAAGACAATGCCTAACTCTGATGGTGGATGGTTTCCCTAAATGTAACAACAGATCTGGAGAGTTTAGTGGCATGTAGATTGTCATTCTATTCATTCATAATCTGCCAACTTGTTAGGGAATGAGTGTTTTTGTAGGTTTAAGCTAAAAGTGTGATTGCATGCATTTGTCTTAAAGACACCTGGAATCATTTAGCTCGTCCATGTTTTAGAAAACTTCTATGGTAAATGTGAGAGTTAAACAGCATTGTATAGTTGTAGCTTCTCTGTACTATGTTTTATTGTGTGGATAATTTTAATGACCAATGTCTTGAGGGTAAGAATGACTTTGGTGGTTCAGCTAAAAAGCTGACTTTTACAGAAGAGGTGTATTGTATTTATTGATATCTACAGTCTGCATAAAAATGTTCCCTTGACTTCCCTTAGACATATGTTTGTCATATACATAATTTATGTCATATATGTCAGAGTTTCTCATATATTTTCGTCCTATCAACAGTTGTACTTCTGTGCCTAACAGATTTTTCCTCTTCCAGCATCTCTCCTTTCTAATCCATTTTACTAAACTTGACAATCATTTACCTAAAACATGACTTCTGTTTATTTCACTCCTCTGCCTAATGGTTCCTCATCCTGACCTTAATGCCTGTCTCCACTATCATATGTTCATTTTACCATTCTGTGTATCCTGGCCCATGAAACTGCTATTTCTTCATAAACTATAATATATGACTGAACAGTTTTTTCTGTAGGAGATATCTGGTGTTCTATATAGTATTTGACATATGATCTCAAAGTAGTGCAGCCTGCCCTCATCCTCTTTTGACCAGCCATTTTCTGAGGCAATGTGGGTATTTATGAGCCCCCAGAACTGGACCAGTTCTCAAAGAAAATGGAAGATCAAGAACTCCGAGAACTTCCAGGAAATGGATGGGAGGATGGCCAGCTTGCGATGGTCCAGGATGCACTCTCTGATCAATGAAACCCTTCCTCTTTGTCATTTTTTTTTTCTCACTGATTAGTCCTCATGGAATTCTGAGGCTCAAGCTTGTTGTTCACAAAAGGCTGCTCTTTGGATGACTGTCCCTTCATCTAGCCTGAACTCACTTTTCAGTCCTGGGTGTTATTCATTCCAGACCAGGAGTGTGTGAGTGTGATGCTGGGCAGGCAGCATGGTCCCAGGTGGCCTGGTGTCTAACACTTGGTTGAGCTTTCACGGGCCCATGATCTTGGGTGTGATAGAACAGTATCTCTCCAACTTAAGCAGGCATCAGAGTCTCCTGCAGGGACTCTGCTGGACATAGTCTGCTGGACCCCACTTCTGAGTGTCTGATTCAGTAGGTCTGGTGTGGGGCCTGACAGTGTTTATTTCTAGTACTTTTTGGGGAACTCATGACAAATTCCAATATTCCAGCAGTATTGTAAGGAAGTGCAATATTGCTGGGTGGTATGATTATGAAAGTGCTCGATACCTTCATATCTCGGTGTGGCTGCTCATGTTTGAATGGTCTTGTAGGCTTTCCCCAAGTCTTTCCATATGCAACACCTAGATCAAATGCTACATCTTTAATGATGTTTTTGTGACTCCTTTAACCAGGGGATAAAACATTTGCTGTTACTCTTCTAACTTCTTAGCAATGTGTTTGCCCCTCTTATAATATTTATCACCATGTACCCTACATAAAGTATGCCTGTCTTTCTACCAACACATAATCTCTTTGAAGGTGAGTGTGTTGGTCTCATTCATCTTGCTGCTTCTAATGCTTGGTACAAGTGCCTTAGATGCAATACATATTATTGGCCCTGTGCCCAGATACCTTTGAGTCCACTTTTTTACCTCTGTTAAGTCTATGTTCCACCTTTAGCACACTTTGTTCCTAACAACTTGAACTTGTAACATTTTCTGGAGGACTGATCTTGAATTACTGGAGGCATTTCACTCAGACATATGGTAAGCTGGGATTGTCTAGAAGTTTATCTCCACAGCAGTGTTATGCTGCAGAGTGGTGCAGCAGTATGAAGGCCCTGCTTCTTGCCTTGAGGTGGACACACTACAGCTCTCTGCAGGATCAGGCTGAGGCAGCCCCTTCAAACCCTTGTTTGGATTCTTCCCCTTCTCTGTCCTGCTTTCCTTACTCCTTTGACTGATTTCTCCTGGGAGCACTTCCCTAATGAATCATTTGCACACAAACTCTTCTCTCATGGCCTGCTTCAGGAGAACTAGCAGGTGTTGTGTGAATATTTTAGAATGAATGAATGCTTGAAAAGGAGTGTAGCATAATAGGAGCGTGGACTCTGTAGCCAGACTGCCCGGGTTTGAATCCCAGTTCTACCACTTAGCAGTCATGTGACTTTGAACAAAAAACCTTTTTGTGTTTCAGCTTTTTTATTCATTTACTGAAGCTCAAACAGTACTTTATATGGGGTTGTTATGAGAATTAAGTAAATTAATACTTTTAAAGCACGTGGAACAGTTTCTGGCACATAATAAGTGGTAGTTAAGTGTTTATAAGAATAAATTTTAAAAATTGCATTGAATAACATTAAAATACACACAAGTAAATGGAAAGACATCTTGTGATTATGAACTGAAAGACTATATTATTCAGATAATTCTACTACTCAAAGTGATCTCCAGATTTAATTCACCTTCTATCAAAATCCCACTAGCGTTTTTTACAGAAATAGAAAACCTGTCTTAAAGTGACCTCAAATAACCAAAACAATCTTGTAAAAGAACAAAGGTGGAAGACTCACACTTCCAAATTGAAAAATTTATTTCAAAGCTATAGGAATCAAGACAGTATGATCTGCATACGGACAGGTATATATAGACTAATGTAATAGAATTGAGAGCCTGGAAATAAACCCACCACACATGTGGGGTAAGGTGAATTTTAAGCTAGGTGCCAAGACTATTCAATGAGGAAAGGAAACTCTTTTCAACAAAAGTACCAGGAAAACTGGATCTCCACCTGCAAAAACATGAAATGGTATCCTTACCTTAAGATATAAAGCTATAAAACTCTTAGAAGAAAATATAGGGGAAAATCTTCATGACATTGGATTTGGCAATGATTTCCTGGATATGACACCAAAAGCACAGGCAACAAAAGAAAAAAATAGATGGCCGGTTGCGGTGGCTCAAGCCTGTAATCCCAGCACTTTGGGAGGCCGAGACGGGCAGATCACGAGGTCAGGAGATCGAGACCATCCTGGCTAACACGAAAGTGAAACCCTGTCTCTACTAAAAAAATACAAAAAACTAGCCGGGTGAGGTGTTGGCGCCCTGTAGTCCAGCTACTTGGGGAGGCTGAGGCAGGAGAATGGCGTGAACCCGGGGGGCGGAGCTTGCAGTGAGCTGAGACCCGGCCACTGCACTCCAGCCTGGGCGACAGAGCGAGACTCTGTCTCCAAAAAAAAAAAAAAAAAAAAAATAGACAAAATGGGCTTCATCAGAATTAAAAAGTTTTGTACATCAAAAGACACTATCAAGGCTAGGTGTGGTGGCTCACGCGTATAATCCTAGCATTTTGGGATGCCACGGTGGGCGGATCACCTGAAGTCAGGAGTTCGAGACCACCCTGGCCAACATAGTGAAACCTCATTTCTACTAAAAATACAAAAATTAGCTGGGCATGGTGGCGCGTGCCTGTAGTCCCAGCTACTCAGGAGTCTGAGGCAAGAGAATCACTTGAACCCAGGAAGCAGAGGTTGCAGTGAGCCGAGATCACGCCACTGCACTCCGGTCTCGGTGACAAAGTGAGACTCCATCTCAAAAAAAAGAAAAAAAGACAGTATCTTGCAAAAGGACAACCCACAGAATGGGAGAAAATATTTGTAAGTTATACATCTGATAAGGGATTAAGAACCAGAATATTTAAAGAACCTCTATCGGTCAAACAACAAACAACCCAGTTAAAACATGGTGAAAGGTCCTGGAGAGACATCTTTACAAAGAAGATAAACAGATGAAAACAGATCAATAAGCAGATGAAAAAATGCTCAACATCATTAGTCATTAGGGAAATGCAAGTCAAAACACAATGAAATATTACTTCACACTCATTGGGATGGCTATTGAAAACAAAAAAGCAAACCAGAAAATAAATTTTGATGCGGGTATAGAGAAATTGGAACCCTTGTGCAGTGTAGGAATGTAAAATGGTGCAACCTCTGTGAAAAACAGCTTAGTAGTTTCTCCAGAAGTTAAACATAAAGTTATTGTGAGATCTATTAATTCCACTCCTGGGAATTACTCCCAGAAGAATTGAAAGCTAAGAATTGAAAGCTGGGACTGAGATACTTGCATACCAGTGAGCATAGCAATGTTAGTCACAATAGCCCAAAGGTGAAAACAACTCAAGTGTCTGTCAATGGATGATCGGATAAACAAAATGTAGTATACAATAGAATATTAGTTATAAAAAAGGAATGGAATTCTGATATATTTTACAGTGTATGGATGAACTTTGAAACATTATACTAAGTAAAATAAGTAGGGACAAAGGACGGATATCATTAGGATTCCACATATGTGAGGTTCATAGAATCGGCAAATTCATAGAGATTGGAAATAAACTAGATGTTACCAGGCTTCACATGGTGGGGTGGGGAGCAGAGCAAGGAGTTATTGTTTAATAGTAAAGAGTTTCTGATAGGGATGAGTAAAAGTTCAGGAAATAGTGGTGATAATTGCACAACATTGAGAATGTACTTAGTGCAATTGAATTGCATACTTTACATGTTAAAATGGCAGGTTTTATGTTATGTATACTTTATCACAGTTTTATAAAAACATTAATTCTAGTCTTGCATTTTGTTATTCTTGCTCTGCCTCTGGGTTGTGGATATATGCATCACTAATGCTGCTTTTCTCTCTCATGAGGGAAATTCCTGTGAATTGTCTATGAGCATTTAAATAGTGTGCTTGGATAGCTGTGAATTTTTAAACATCCAATTAAGAACAGAGAAAAAAAATCACTATATGTAAACATGAATAAATAAAGGAATAATTAGATTATTTGAAAATTCTTTAGGTTTACTCAGAATTTGCCATAATCTTGTGAATGCAGTGAGTCCAGTTTAATTATTTATACCATAAAGCAGTCTGAACCTAGAGTTTTCTTCAGCTTTATTGCTTATGATTTTGTAAAAGCTCTCCACATGGGTCCACTTGGTTTGGGCTTATAGGCAAATTGGTCTCCGGCCAGATGCTCCATCTCCTTACGTGTCACACCTCTCCACAAGGCTGAAATGTTTCCCTGAAGAGAAACTTTTTAAAAGCCCACAAACTCCAATTTAGCTTTGGCAATCACTGCACTGTGGTGTTTAAGTGTTTTAGACTTAGCAATAAATAATGTTTTAAAACTTCCAATGTCTTATTTGTCGTGCTGTTTATATCTATAGGTGACAGCCTTGGATACACAGTATATGAAATGTGATAAAGTCATTCAGTGGTTACAATTGTCCTACCTGCCCCGTAGCCTCACATTTTTCTCATTTTTATCATAAATGGTGAAATGAAATGAAGAAAAAAGGGGGTGAGAATGTGTATTTGTTTATGAGATTGTGTCCCTCAAGGAATTAGTTGATAAGTTTGACTAATATCTATAACATTTACTCTGACACACTTTTGCATCTTTGTTTTTTATACTTATACATTACTATGTTAAAAACTTTTTGGTTTTCATCTGGGGAGCCCAGTACTGTGGATACATGGGATGGAGAACTGACCTTTTTAAGTATATGTCATTTATGTGAAATTTCATCAAAGAGAATGCAATAGCAACAAAAGGCCAAATTCGTTTAACAAGAACTTTTGAAACTTTCGCCACTGTCACACTTATTTCAAACAAAACCACTCTAAATCTGTTCTGGAATAAGACAGTGCCTAAAGAGATAATACAGTATGTTAAACTAATGCAAAAGTTTTGATATCTGGATATGTAATGATATGTTTTAACCTTTTCTATTTTGGATTCAGATCAGGTCTTCTGTTGTGGATCAATGGTTCTTAGGCAAAAGGGTAGTTTACTATGAATTATCCTATTTAAAATATCTTGTTACTAGTCGTTCTGTTCTTGAAGAGTGTAAATACATCTCCCCACCTCCTGTGCTTGGAGTTAACTGTGACAAGAAATGAGTGGCCCTAAGCATATAACTAGCTTTATCACATGAGTATTTAGTCAATGCCCACTGGTTGAAAATCTGATCATTTGGAAAGTGACACACACACATGTGCATGCATGCATGCACATATATATACATGCACACATCATCTACACATGCATACATGTTTTCCCTTTACTTTTTGGGCGGAGGGCCTTGCAGAAAATAAAATGTCCAATAGACAGAGAGACAGAAGAAAGAATGCCCGTGGAACAAAAGGCAGCACAGAGATATAAAACTAGTTTCTCACTGTTACTTGCTTTTTCCACGCAAGACAGAATCATTCTTGCCTAAACACAGAACTCCTGGAACAGCTTTTAGGAATGGTGTATTTTAAAGTGAAATCCGATACTCCAAGGGTCTTAGAGTCCTGAGTAGAGATTATACTGATAGAGACAAATTGGTTATTTCCACCCAACCCTCCAAACTTCACTGTTTGGCTTTGTATTGAAAATTGAAAGTATGTCTTTATTTATTTACTTTCAGTGTAAAACTTGCATGGTAAAAGTTTGTTGATATGCAGTGTATCCCTAGTTGGAAATTACTAGAACTAAGAAGACTAGGAATATTTGTTTTCAAATAGATTTTTAAATTGACCTTGATAGTTTTCAATGTTTCTTAATTAGTGTTTGCAAATCTGCTGATTTTACGAAAAATCTGTTTCTTGCAGTATTAGAGTATAGCATCACAACAAAATTAGCATTCCATATGTTGTTTTGTTAAACATCCTTGGTGACTTTCTTTAAAATCCTTTGGGAAATGTTTTGAAATTTGTTGAAACAAATATGCAACACTTGAAAATAAATGGTGATTATCACCACATTGTTCTTTCTTAAAAGTATTGCCTGTGTTTGGACTTAGTAGAAATGCTATCACTGAACACATATCCTTCAGAAATTCCTAACGAGTGGGTAAGGCCTAATACAAGCCTTTTTACACAGACTAGGAAAAGCAACTTGCTACAGAATTCTAGCAATGCCGTGATGCTATGTGAGGTAGATAGATTTTACCAAAGGCTGGAGTGGGAAGACCCATGTATAAAACCCTTTACTGGATTTTTTCCTTCTCTAATTGGAATGAGCAAACTCAACTTCCTTTTCCTAAAATCTCGTTCAGTTCTCGTATGTAGGAACAGAGGAATATATTTCATCTGAAATTGGAAAACTGGGTTGCATCTCATGGTAGTACCACTCATTTTTAACCACTTACTGAAACTGAGAGTCCTATCTGTGTCTTCATTTTAGATTTAAGATTTAGTCAACAGATACACTAAACATCTATTATGTGCCAGGCATTGTGCTTGGGGCTAAAGTTACCAACAGGAATA